TGACCTCCAACTCCAGAACAATTGCAGGAAAAGGGGTTATGGGAAAGAGGAAAAGCAGGTCTTCTCCACCCTGCGCCATGGTGAGGAAAGATCTAGCTCGAGATCCCATCTTGTAGGGAAAGATCCTGCATGAGAAATGTCATCTTAGGACGAGAAATGTGGAGCTGCACTGCAGCACGAGCCTTCTCTCTCCTCTAGTGAATAGTGGTTACTCTGACCACTGCTGCTGCAGAGTAAGTCACACAAATGGATGCATTCAAAGCACCAGCAGATACCCATTTTCTCCTGTAAAATATTAATTCTTTATTAGTCTGTTCAGATTATTTTCCTGGTATGAAAACAATGTGTATCTTTGTCTTTGGTAGCATGTACATTAAACAGTATCATAGTCCACCAAAGAAACTCCTTTTCCTTAGGAAATCATGATGTAGACCTTACAGTGTACCTTAAAATTTAAGATGGGCTTTCCTGGAAAGCAGAGAAAGAAGAGCAGGGCTGTCTTAGAGGTGTTACTCCAGTACCAACAACCTGGCATGTTTAACATGACCAGTTAATCAAGCTCTGTCACGTCCGGACAGAAAAAAGTTTTTTAAGTGAACAGAGAAGGTGAAAATCAGAATTTTGGCCTTAACCGAGAAGTTGGGAACCCTCATCTGGAAGTAGATCTATCAGATCAGTGCTGAAATGGCCGAACACTCGTAGTCTTCATCCACTGGACTGTCTTGGTGATCTTCATGCAAAATGCTCAAGAAAGCATCACTTAGTCATGGGAGGTGTCAAATGCTCTTGATTTTGTGACAAGCATAGGTGTTTACAGCAGTGTTCATATCTGAAAACATAATGACAAAGTCTGTATGCATGGACAAAGCCATTTGGGGGGTACAGAGCTGCTGCCCCAGGATCTAAATGAAGGATAATATGATAATAATCCAACAAATCAAGAAGGACAAATCATCAGGTGAGAGGACTGAAACACTGCAAGGTGAAGAGTGAGATGATTGAAATTGTTCAGGAACCTGGACTTTCGAATCTTGCTGAAAATTAAATACCAATGAATACATTCCCTGCAGGGGAGAATGTGTAGTATTCAGACCCGCTCAATAGTTATAAAGATGACTTTTTAAACCAGCTGCCCAAGGCTACAAAGGAAACTATGGAAAAGCCACGACCTGAATCCAGAGCCATTGATATCCAACACAATGCCTTATTAATGAAGCTGTCTGGTCTAACTATTGAAAAGATCCTCAGGTATAGGAAAAGCTGATGTTATACCCGCCAATCTTTCCAGACATCTTTTCTGATGCATCGGTGTAAGTCGTCAGGTTGAATTTCAGAAGTTTGCTCTTACTAAAACCCTGGTTTTAGCCTGGCAGTTGGATAGCTAAGAAGCCCCATAGTTCAGCATCAATGACAAAAGATGTAAAGATGAATGCTACATCCAGGAGTTGGTACCTGATTTGCCATATGATATTATCTTCTGGTTGCTTGCACTCTCAAATATTGTAGTTAGGAATACTTATACTTTTAGCAATTTAATCCTCTTCTTTTAGCACTTTATGGGCCTGATCTGGCAAGTCTGCCTTCAGGCGAAAGTCTAGTTAAAGTCGATAGAAGTTCTGTAAGACTAAAGTCTGCGGGGTCTGAGACATTAGAATTACATGGTTGGTGAGCATCGTAATAAGGAAAAGGAGTATCACAATAAGACATTAATAAACTGTTTACACTGTTTTAGTCCGGTGGAGTCATTTCAATGGAAACCTCCTTTTCTAGAAAAGACATACATTACATTAAATCAGTTAAGAATCATAGATCAGTGATTATTCAGTAGTAATCACATAAAAACAACTTTTTGTCATTTCTTAGTGATTAGACATTGCACAGTGCTTGCATTTCTAATTACAGTCAGTCCATAAAAGCTGAAATCCCAATTTCTACAGTATGTGCTAAATGGGCAGCATTTGTTTTTATTTTTTTCTCCATCACAAGAAATAACTGTAGTTATCATTCTCGTTTAGGGTTGTTCAGGCTGTGGGTACATGTACCATTACTGGTGTAGAAGTCGCCTCAAAGTTGTACCCGCTTCAGCACAGAGCCAGATGTTTCCAGAATGTGTGCCGAGAGCATCCCTCACTATTGCTGCCCAGCGGTACCCACAAAAAAAGCATTTGCGAATCTTTCTGCTAGCATTTCAGAATAGCCCTGCCTTGTCATGACTTTCATTTTTGTATCTTTGAGTATGGGTTAAAGTTAAGAAAAAAACAGTAATTGCTGTTATTGTGTCTTTGTAGTAGATCTGATACTGAACTGAAGAGTAAATCAATACTGTCATTTCTGTATAAAATTTCAGTTACATTTTAAGCCATTATTGCAGTGAATGTGCCTAATGCATTCAATTTTACAACAAAACTAATCATTAATTTTATCTTTACTGATGTTAGTGTGTATTATAGCATTCTTCAGAACTGGTATTTGAAATGTCAGGTTACTTTTTGCCATATTTTAGGAGAAACCATAATATTAGAATAACATATCTTATACTAATCTAATCCCTTTTCAGTTGTTTCATTCATATTTTGTCCCCTTGCAACAAGGATACGCAAAGAATGAGTAACTGTTTTGTCAACAGGGACCATAATGATTAAAATACAAACAGCAAATATGACCAGGTCTGGAATCGGATTATAGGATTAAAATGAATGAAAAACTGCTCTGTAGTAGGATTGCAAAATTCCAATCAATACCATCCTGTAATAATTTTAAAGGGAAAATGTGGGAAGTAAATAAGGCAAAGAAAGCAGAACTTAAGGTTGTTAGTGATGCTTGAGTTTCTTGATTTTCTTTTGGTTTATCGGTAGGTCCCAGCTAGAAAGCTGCAATGTCACCGGGGTTCTCTGCTTTTGGTTTATATTACATCTGTTGTGCTGGGTTATTTTGCAGTTGCATCATAAGGGTTAAAGGCAGCTGGCCTTAGGTTAATGCAGTAAAAGGGAAGGAGGCAGAGCATGTATGGAGGCTACAGAGCACCTGGCACCGGCACCCACTTGCAAAGGGGGCAGCAGTGCCTGTGCGTTTCTGCCCTTTTGAGTTTGTAATGTGGACAGAGGGCGTTGCTTAACGTTTCGGATCAAAGATGTGTTGGAGAAATCTGCCCTGATTCGTCTGAGCCCACCTACAAGGGTGTGGTACGACGCGTCAGCACAGGAGGCTGATTGCAAGGATGCTTTAAGTGGTCTTAGGGCCACCCCAATCCTTCACATGCCGGAGGGCTCTCTCTGCTTGGCCCTGGGCAGCCCCATAGCCCAGCACTGCGCCTGTGCTTATTCTGTCTGCCTCACGTCCCCGTTCTTACGTTGGAGTCCTCGGGAGATCACATCCTCGGGGTTTTGTGCCAGGGAGGTCTCCTCGGGCTGCATTTGAGACTGAAAGCATTTGTATGCTGCTTCAGCCCTGCCCTCTTTGCAGAGATCTGGAGGATGGTAAAAATGCAAATTAGTGTTGTTTCAAATATTCTTCAGGCCAGCTGTACTAACCTCAGTATGAAGTAGATTTTCCACCAGAAGGTGTATCTTCTGGATCATGGAGAAGTACTGTGAGAAGTGCCACCTCTTAAAGGACTGAATTCTGAACGTTTCTGTTCTTTACGTATTATCAGTGTGATGAGGCTATGTTTTCATCTCTAGTGATGAAGTTAAGATAGATGAAGGTCTGGGGTGCTTAGTCTCATGCATCTGTAGCAGGTTGCCGTTTCAAAAGTAAATGCGTTTGTCACTTTCTAAAAGTCAAGCCTGCCTGAGAAGAGCTCTCCAAAATTGGCAGCGCTTAAATCTACCACTTTTTTTTTTTTAATCTCATGCAAAATGTTAGTTACATCTTTTTAGGCACCTAGAGGAACTCAGCTATGAATAAGCAAAAAATTTTTTAAAAGGCATTATTTTTATCGGGGAACCTAACAGGTCATACCATAAATCAGAGCCAAGTGTCTTGGTCGTTTTCCATCTGGGTCCAAGAATGTTACAGCAGCTTGACTCTACATACATAGACACTCAGAAATGAACCATCCTACTATGGAGGTTTAGGTTGTAGCTGTGATTGCTCCTCGAGACATGACACCTCCTGTCATTAGAGGCAAGGCTGACTAGGCATCCTTATCCTGTTTCCAGAGCCGAGCTGCTGCCTGCAGAAACTGCTGACCAGCCCCATGTAGAGTTTTCTGATTATGTCCAGAGCAGCTTGAAGAACTCTGCACTGCTCTCCACTGCATGATATTGGCCTACCCACAAACTCAGAGGAGGTCAGCAGGACAGAAAAAATTCCTCCTCTGACCAGAGGAGCTTCACGTTGTACATTTGATGCCTTTCCTTGGTGTAAGAAAAGGGTTTTGTGCTTATCGCTCTTGAGTTGTTCTTGGACATTCCTGGAACCTAAAGCAAAAGGAACAGAAGCAAAGTCCATAAAATTGGGGGTGGGTCACTTGAAGTGTCCCATGCCCAGTGTCAAGCAAGTGCAGTAAAGATGAAAGGGAGAAAAAACAATGCTTGGAAGCCTTGTTGGAGAGGAGCAGGCCATAGGAAGAAGGTGTAGTGCAAAGTCCTGCAAAAATGTACAGGCAATGCTCACCAGCAGCTTGAAATAGGCTTCTAGAGAAATGCTTACTTGAACTTTTACTTGTAGCAAATTGGACGGAATTTGTATTTTCTTCCCCATTTTGCTGTCTTAATCCCTCTGAAAGAAGATGGCAGTAAGCAGTGACTATCATCACAACGCATTTCTGATTAACAGCAAGGGCACAAGGGCACTCTCAAAATAGAAGCAAAGTCGGGATTGTTTTAAATCACAGTGTTGCAGAAGTATTAAAGCAGAAGACATAATTTTAATGTGTTCAGAAATAAAATGCATGCTACTGTAAATGGTTGTGTACATTCATCTAGCTGCTACTGACTGGCCTAACCTTTTGCATTAGGTTTCTGTGATTCATCTTTTCTTTTGTTTCAGAGAGTCGAATGATTCTGGATGCCTTTGCCCAACAATGCAGCCGGGTTCTAAGTCTCTTAAATTGTGGTGGAAAACTACTGGACAACAATCACTCTCAGTCCATGATTTCCTGTATAAAGCAGGAAAACCCAAATTATAGTGAAAGACAAGAGCAATGTCAGCTTGGGAAAATGGTCCATAGTCAGACGTCAGACATTTTAGACATAGAGATGCAGTATATGCAAAAGAAACAACAAACCTCAGCCTTTCTGAGAGTTTTTACTGATTCCCTTCAGAACTATTTGCTTTCTGGGAGCTTTCCTTCTCAAAACACCTCATCAGTAAATGATTTTAGCCATTTGGCAGATGTGGATCCACTTTCAACCTCTCCAGTACACACTTTAGGTGGATGGACATCTCCAGCAACATCTGAATCTCATGGTCACCCATCATCTTCTACACTTCCGGAGGAGGAAGAGGAGGAAGAGGAAGAAAGTTACTGCCCTCGGTGTCAAGAGCTAGAGCAGGAGGTAATTTCATTGCAACAAGAAAACGAGGAACTTCGTAGAAAATTGGAGAGCATTCCAGGTAAATAATCCCCTGCCATATAATATTGTCAGTCGGTGATAAAAACAGTTTGGGTAATAGTTTTAAGTTCTAGTTGTCTTTTAAGGTTGTAGTCATAGTAATCAAACACTGGAATTTGTCTCCATCCAAAATTCCTATAGCTGTGCCCACTGGAAAATTATCTGCTGATACTCATCCATGCGAATCGTGAGTCCTAGACTAATGAGCTGTGTTCAGAATAGGATGTACTTGTAGTCCCAAATTCCAAACATCAGGTGATTCGTTACGGTAATTTCAAACATACGCTTTTATACCTAATTATCTGTATTGTTCTTTAAGTGATGTTGCAGCTTACAAACCTAATTCCCTTTTGGGGCTCCTTTTTTGGTTACTTAAAGAAACTACTCAAAGTTACATCCATACTTTTAACCAAAATACATTTGGCTTTTACCTTGAACAGTATCTCTTAAATTGCTGTTAGCTCAGTGAGAAGCATAAATACATCTCCTCCCATTTATCTCCAAATAATACCTGAAAAAAAGCTTGGCAACAAGTGCTCCAGTTCAGCAATACCTAGCTGCCACTGGGGGAGAGAAAGCAGACAGAAAAACCCCATCTAATAGAAACCCCGTTTGTGAAAAACTTCTCTTGCCCCTTTAAACTTCGGACCTTTCACTGTTAAGGTGCACTAACATACTTGAAGAGTGGTATCAGATGAGAACAAAGTGTATGGACTATGGAGAACAAAGTATTTGACCCATATCCCCTAAACCTTAAGCACAGCCAAAAATGCATCTTAAATAACAATACTAAAAGCAAACTGGAATTTAGCAAGGAAGATAAGTATACAGCACACTTCTGACACATCTATAAATGCTAGGGAGCTGCCCCTCTGCCAGCTGAAGTTTGAGGTGCTTAGGGTAGATCCATGCAAAGTTCACTGAACTAATGCCTAAATAGCAGAAAAGCCATTTAGCATGAGCCGCAAGAGAGAAAATAGTCCAAAGCTGCTAACTATGCAGAAAGGAAGAAGGCAGCAACCAACCACTGTCCAAATATGTATGTGCAGTTGCAAAATCTGAGCAAAAAGCAAGCAGTAGTCTTCATCATTCTTCTCCCCAGCTATCAGTGACGTGTTACGAAATTATTTGTATTACATTGTGTTTTTCTGTTGTGCATTGGTGCCTAGGTGGTACCAGCAAATCCCATAACCAACATTGTTCAATGCAGAGAAAACCCAAAGTTTAGAATACTTTCCCCACCCCTCCCAAAATCTGGAGTCACCATAACTCGTACACTATCACTGGATTCAGTAGTGGTTCGTACATCACATGGAAACACTGTGTGACAAAAGGGAATCGTGTGGACTTCAACTCCTGTTGAGTCCTAGCTTCAGGTGTATTATGACCAAAAATGATCATTAGGGTCTATAATCTGACCTACAGCTTTCATTCAATCACCTATATTGAACCCAGTATCTTTGTGACTTTGACTAAAGCGTAACTTATATTTGACTCAAGTGATATCTCAGGTGGCCTCCAGTCCTGAGTTGGAGACTCTGGTGAGCCGTGGCTCTTACCTATATTGAACCCAGTATCTGTGACTTTGACTAAAGCATAACTTACATTTGACTCAAGTGATATCTCAGGCGGCCTCCAGTCCAGAGTTGGAGACTCTGGTGAGCCGTGGCTCTGCCTCTTACCCTGACACTTGACTCCGGTGGTTAATTACACTGGTGAAAATGTGTGCCTTGTTCCCTGCCTGACTATCTGAAATCAGCTTCTAGCCGTTGACTTCTATGCTTTGCTCCACTAAATGAAGTGCTGTATAGGACTGCGTGCTTTTTCCAGATGAAAGTACTTAGAGATTGAAAGCTGACTTAATTTCCATCTTCGATAAACTAAGCAAACAGAGCTGTTTAAAACTCCCCAAATTAGTTGAATCCTTCTTTGCAGTTCTTTTCACCTCTCTGCTCATTTCTTTAAAATTTGGGCACTGGAAACACGTGCAATACGTTCGTATCTGCCTGAGCAAAGGTGAATAGTCTCTTTGTTCCCACCCACGATTGCCCTGGTCATTTGGCCATCGGTCGTGCAGCTGAGCTTCTCATTCTGTGCGCATTTCTTCCTAGACATGCATACTTTGTATTTGGCTGTGTTCATGTACTAAGTGATCCAGATTGCTTTGGCTGCCCTGTTTTCCCACTGTTTGCTGGTTCACCAATTTCTGTATCATCCAGAGGGGTTTTTTTATTGTTTTTAAATTAACTTCGTGATTCTGGTCAGAAATGTTGAACGGTACTGAGGCTGCTGTCAGTCCCTGTCGAGCCCTGCTAGAAACACCTCTATTCGTGATGATTCCCCGAATGACAAATACTTGAGATGTCAGTAGCAGTTTCTTAATCCATGTATGCTATAGTCTACTGATGTTGTGTATTGTTGCTCTTGCAATCAGATAACTCACGGTAGTAAGTTAAATGCCCTTCAGGAGTCTAGGTATATTACATCTGTTCAACCCAGCTTTTTCAAGCGAACCTATAATCTCATCAGAGAATGACAATCAGGTTAGTCTGACAAGATCCACTTTCCATAAGACCGTTTTGACTGGTGTTAATTATATTCATATTCTTTAGTCAATTGAATCCTGTTGCGATTGCCTGTATTTTGCTAGGATTAATGCCGGGCTAAGCAGACAGTATTTACCTGGGTCATCACAGTTACCCTTCATCTCCCTTTAAAAGAGAGATAAACATACATAAACATAGTGATTTTTCACCCCCCAGGAGTAATGAAACACCTTGTTAATGGCATATCAAAGGAAGCAGACAAACATAAAATAAATGTGCAAGGACATATGACTTCATCAGCCAACATAAAACCGTCATCAAATGCATCTGCTGCTGTCTGGGTGATGTATACAGATAGGTCTAAAGTGACCCAGGTGTGTGGGGAAGCATTAAGAGCCACAGAAAGTGCCCTCTGATTTTGCTGCATGGTAGGACAGAGGTCTGAGCTCCCCGGGCGGTCCCACAGCCACCACTGAGCAAGGTTAATCAAAAATCAACTAAAGACGATGTCTAATTATTTTTGTCTCCAGTGCTGATTTTGCTCCAGTGAGCTTCTGCTACCAAAGAAGCCGGCAGAAATTTTTCTGTGACTTGAAACGCCCAGCTCTGTATGTAAATGGGCACAACGCTCGTTCTCTGAGCATATTTTTGCCCATCAAGACATTGCGTGCCTTGGGAGGGAGCCAGAAAGCCCTCTGCAGAGGGTTTCAGTGTTGTTTGCCACCACCTATCACATCAAAGTCATCTCGGAGCACAAACTTTCTTCCTTGCTCATTCATACGTCTCGTGCTGGGCGTCCGATGGGCCAGGCAAGGCAATTAGTGCAGGGGAAAAGCGACTGGAGGCAGGTAGATGAGCGTGGAGGCTGCCGCACTGTCCCATCAAGCCGCTGAAAGAGGAGGTTTTTTAACGTAGTAGTTTCCCTCTCATCCTTGAGGGAGCTGGGCTGGAGCTGCTCGGTGATGCTCGCAGGGGACCCCATGGGGCGGTGGGAGCTGTGCACCATGCCCTCCCCACGGGCGCTGAGGCTCCCACTGGCAACCCTGTCAACAGAAGATAAAAGCACCAACCCCTCCCTTCTGCTCTATAATTGCCTATGAATCATTTTATCCTTTTCCTGAAATACTTTGCATTTCTTTTTTTTACTTTCCATATGCAAAAGCCCTTTTAAAATCCATGAGAGTTTGCGATCTAAAAATAGTTACCGCTGTACATCTCTGCCTCTAGCTCTGCAGAGCACCATTTGCATGGCTCACAAAGACGCTACCGGGAAGAAGAGTGTTGTCTCAGCAGATGTAAAGGCGATGACTTTTTTTTAATAAGTATTACACAAAACATATCCTCCTGTAGCTTTTGGACACAGAAAATAAGATTTTTTTTCTGTTTTCAGGACTCTGCCCTGTTGCTGTAGAAGCCCTCCAGTCCTGTAGGATCTTTTTGCCCATAGCCTAGCATCACTCTTTGGCAGATCACCACTGGAGAAAAACGATTACATGGGTGAAATATTGCATATGTTTTGGTGGTTGGGGTTTTTTTTCCCCCTCAAAAAATACCCATTTGATTTGACTGAAACAATACTTAAATTTGTGTGAAATCTTAATTGTTTCAGCTATGGAATAAATGAAGAAAAATTCCTATTTCGGTGCTTTGGTTTTGGACCAATGTGACATCCTGCAATTTGTGCAGTTTTCCCCAATAATTTTTTTTTTAGGCAAAAACATTAACTAGCTGAACATTTTCAGTTTTCAGTTCAACTGAAAAAAGGAGAAACATTTTCATTCATTGTGTTATTTTGTCTTGTTTTGAAGAATACTTAAAGATCAGATAATTCCTGGAAGGAGTTTGGCAAACTTGTCATTGGCTCTTTAAGGTTTTGAGACCGTCAAGAACAGAGCAAAGTAATCCATCTATATGAGGAGAAAAATGTCTCCTAATCTCTTTCCTCTGTATAAAAATTACTAGAGCTGTGATACTTTCCCAATAGTAAAATTAAAGATTTATTTGTGAGACTGCATGTAAGACCTGGATTTAGACCCTCTAATATATAAGGATATTAAGCAGTTCTCCTTCCCTATTGTCAGCAGGATTTTCTCACAGCTTTCGGCCTAAAAGGGAGAAAGTATTTCCAGGTGGTTAAAGCAAAGGCCAGGAGTCGTGAGTGAGGGTTTGTCTCCTGGGGCTCCCAGCTTTGCTGCAGGGTTTCGGGCAAACCAGCCTGAAAGTAGTGAAAAGGTGTAAATAAGTAAAATGAAGCAGTGTGTGATAAATACAGTAATTATTCTTACTTTGTTGGCCCAGCAGCAAAAAAATACTCCAGCAAACTGCGGGAGAATGGGGGTGAAAAATCCCCTCAAATGTAGAGAGGTGATCACCTACAGAGACGACGTTCATGGTGACTGGAAGTAGCCAAAGCAAAGCGGGATTTGCAGGTAGAGTTAATATCAATGTAATTGAA